CAAGCTCATGGCATCTAGTCTAAATTTCAGTCAGCATACATAAAGCTGTATCTAGAAGGGAAGTTGTCGCAAATACAGCATACATTGTATTCGAATTTTTTTTTTTTTTTTTTTTTTTTTTTTTTTTTTAAACCTCGATCAACCGGAAACTCCAAAGTACCCATTACTTAAAAATCACCAGTACCTCCAAGCCTCTTTTTTTTTTGCCGAGGCCAAGTAGAACTGCGTGCCTAACTTTGGTCGAAGCGCCAGTGCGGCGTCCTTTGTTTTGTTTTGTTTTGTTTTGTTTTGTTTTGGCTGTGCCACCAGGCCGTTTGGTCAGGTCGCGCCTGACCTCCATTGGCCTCTGAAGAATGCGGTATAGGGCGTATAGGCTACAGTTACGACTTAGGCTTCCAGCCTGAAACGTAGTCACTGTGGCTTAAACGGTTAATTAAACCTTAAGACGTCTATGTAGTATGCATCCATTTTCTTTGCTAAATATATAGTCAAACAGAGCTGCCAGGTAAACCGTAGGCAGAGAGGGAGAAGAGGACAACAAACAAGGGGCTGTGACAAACTGTTTTGTCGGAGTTTCACCGACTCATCAGGAGGCTGAACCCTCTATATACATCGTCAAACAGAGCTGCCCGGTTTACCGTAGGCAGAGAGGAAGAAGAGGACAACAAACGAGGGGCTGTGACAAACTGTATGTGTATATACTATATCTATATCTATATATATATATACGAAACAGTTTGTCACAGCCCCTCGTTTGTTGTCCTCTTCTCTCTCTCTGCCTACGGTTTTACCGGGCAGTTCTGTGTGTGACGATATATATATATATATATATATATATATACACCATAAGGAAATAAGAAAAAAGAAAAAATATGTTGATCTGTGGGGTGTTTTATTTGCTTTGTGGCAGTTGGATTATCTGTGGAATGTGTCATTTGCTTTGTTTGACTCACTGATAGGCTTTCTTTCCCTGTCAGTTTTGGTTTCTCCTCCTTTTCTTTACCTTTTTTTTTGCCTTTTGGCTGGCAGTGCGTGCAAGTGGGTCCTTGTGACACACGGGGATGGATGGGGGCAAGCAGCGCTCAACCTGTCATCCACGTGGCTGGCCTTGTACGTAAGAGGTGATGAACACCTCTTACGTACAAGGCCAGCCACGCGGCTCTCCTTCCTTCTTTTCCTTTTCTTGTTTTGTCTTTTTCAGCCTTTGCGCTCCGATTCACAGTGTGACAATATATATACACTATATATGTAAGAACCCCCGTGTTAGTTCAGGCTGCTTCCTCGGGCGGCACCCGGAGGTTTGAGACTGTCCTTTTTTAGCTTGGGGCTCTGTCTATGTAACCCCTAAAGTTGCAAGACTCTGATATTCTTACGCCTCCAACCCCCCCCTAACCCCTGAAAAACCCTAAAACCCACCCTAAACCCTCAAGTTTCTTTGTGTCCCCAGGGTTCACTAGACTTGGAAGAATCCAGATTCTGAAGGTGCTGAACCTTCAGGCATTTCTAATGCCTCATTACTAAACCTGCCTTAACCCTTGACATGTGTGCAAAGGGATTAGCATACACCTACACCCTCTTACACACCTGAACGATAAAGTTCTTAAACTGCAAAAGTATCTGATTGCTAAGCCATGAACACTATAGAGGATCAAAACCTTTAATAAGTTCCTTAGCTATAGACTCGTATAGAGTAGTATAGACACATGTGCTTCAATGAACAAGTCCTAAGCCCAAAAGCACCTCAGTCGGCTATAGCTGCTAAACCCTGAGCAGTAAAGGTCAATCCGCTACAGTTGCTAAGCCCCTAAACACTATATATAAGTCCTAGAACCCAAACTTTGGGGCACTCAAAGCGCAATTTGCTCTACATCCATGAATTTTTTTCCGGAATTTTTTTGTCAAACTTGAAGGATTAACCATAGCCAATTTCAGCACTCGAAACTTTGTGCGCACCGCCCCCCTGGTACCCCAGGTGGGCGGAACCTGACCGTGGGGCCTCCAAGTGCCCCGGAAGCAGCGCGGAACCATAGCCAATTTCAGCACTCGAAACTTTGTGCACGTCGCCCCCCTGGTACCCCAGGTAGGCGGAACCTGACCGTGGGGCCTCCAAGTGCCCTGGAAGCAGCGTGGCTAGGCCCAGGACAGATTGGATGGCTGCTGCACTCTAATCCTGACGTCATCGATCTCATCCGGCCGAAATATCCAGGAGGCACGTACACCAGAACCCAAGTCTGAACTGAAACCGGAAAAAACTTTGAAATTTCAACCCTGAGCCAAACCCTAGACCCTCTCAACCCTTACTTAATTAAACCACCAGTACCTCCGAGCCTCTTTTTTCCGGACACGGATTTCTGCTGCGTGCCGATAAAAACAAACAAACCAGCGCGGGTGCGGTTCCGACTTTTCAGTCTTTTCAGTCTTTCCAGCCATTTTTTCGGTTGGTAGGCCAAGCCCCAAAAGGGCTTGGTGGCGCGTTAACGGCCGTGTTGCAAGAGAAAAATGGCCGTGTTGGAAGGACACTGGTGATTCAAACTGCCAGTACACGTCCCCAGCCTTCCAGAAAAAAGCAACTTGTCGCCACCGCACTACTGTCGCTATGGCTCGGCCTACCAGATCACAATGGCTGGCGGCGCCAGCCAGAAAAGAAAAAAAACTTTTAAAAAGTGCACCGCTGGCTGTTCGGAAAAGCTTGGTGCGCAGTAAGGCACCTCCAGGCCCGGGGTGTACTGGGGGTTTAAACGTTGACCCAGTGACTTAAAAGTTAAAACCCTAAACTCCAAGCCTTCAAGGCATAATAGTGCTAACACCAGAACCCTGTATTCATCTTCATGTGAGCACTTGCATGCCTGTCAAACTGATAAACTGTACAGGTGGCTGCCCGGATATCTGGACCTAGCCATGGTTCCACCATGGGCAAAGTATGCCAGTGAACGTACATTCTCATATCATAGTTAACAATCTTCGTGAACTTTGCCTGAGTGGACGAGGCGGAAGGGCGATGCTGTAGCGTCCTGTTGGGTGCTACAGTTTCTACTTGCACACTGTGTCCTCCGCGAGAGTAAAGCCTCCTACATTGTGATAATTTCCTACATGAAGTATTCTTTTCTGAAGTCCTCCCTCCTCCCCCCCCCCCCACACACAAACTTTCCAAAAGACAAATAAAACAAAACAAACAGCCCCGATACACTCATGCAGGCAACACATGGAGTAAAGTGGACAATTATAAGAAGATAAGACACCGAGGGTAAGATTTGCTGTCTTGTAACCAGAACCTCAAACTGTCAGAGGAGCAAAACTTTGTTGGAAGGAAAGTGACAATAGCCTCCTGATGAGCTGATCAAACTCCAATGTATCAGTCCATCACCGCTCTCCCTCCCTTGTCCTTTTCTCCCTTTCTGCCTATGGTTCACTGGGCAGTTCTTTGTGCAATGTTGCACTGAGAATGCTCAGCTGGGTCTTCCATGTGTTCATCCACCTCACTAACACTCCGTACTTTCCCTTACTTTCCCTTTATCGTCCTTTGTTTGTGTGCTCTCGATCTGTCCTCCCTGTGTTTATCCCCTCCCCCTTCACTCTGCCTCTTTCTCACAGCGTACAAGTGAGCTGTTATGGTACACGGGGATGGGGGCAGCTCGCACGCAACTTCATCAACGTGGCGAGCCTTGTACGTGAGAGGCACGGCGAAAGAGGAGTTAAAAGAAGAATGAGAAAAATGAATGGTTTCAGTGTGCCCTTCAGGCTCCTTCATGTTTGTCTTGTTTTTTTTTTTGTTTATAGCTGGTTCATTTTTGTATGTATATGAGATTATGACTATGTATACGGTCATAGAGAACTTCCCGGTGAACGTTCAAACGGATTACTGGGGCAAAATTCCACAGAGGACTTCAGTCGAGAGTTTTGTCTTCAGATTCCTTACCAGGATGTACGAGGCCTCGCTTGAAAAGAGTTATGATTTTCAAAAAAAAAAAAAAAAAAAAAAGAGTTATGATAGCTCTAGTCAGAAAGGGAGAAAAGGACAAGGAACAGGGGGCTGTGACAAACAGTTTTGTCAGAGTTGTGACTCTGTTACTCTTTGTACTGGCTTGCCGATGTTGAGCAACCGGACTGTTGTGTCCCAGAACAGATGGGGGGGGGCGTGTGTGTTTTGCGTTTGAAAAAAAAGGGAAACTCCGATGAAACAGTCTGTCACAGCCCCCGTTTCTTGTCCTTTTTCCCCTTTCTGCCTATGGTTCACCGGGCAGTTCGCTATGACTATACGTATGTATGTACTATATAAACTTGAAATTATACCTTTCCCGACCGTCGAAGAACATCGTCGGAGCTACGACTGCGCTTTAAACCGGGTCAGTGTTAGTCCGGTACCAAACTGGCGCGCTACCACTCACACACGAGTCTCCTTCTGCCTAACCCCAACAAGAGCAATGAGTGTTTCGCCGGAATTTCACCGGCTCATCAGAGGCCTGACACTCGCGGGTAATCTCCTTACA